TTAATTATTGAGTTTAATTGCTTTTATCGTTCTAGGTAAAATAAAGGAAGAACTAGTAAACGAAGGTTAGTAGACAGACATTTTACAGATATTCTTATTACATTTTCTATTTATTTTTTTTTATTTTGAATTATTTTGTCAGTGGAAGGCAAATTTATGGTGAGGTGTGGTGATTGTGATAATGTCGATAGTGGTAAATAATTATTGTAGCAGTGATGGTCATGTTAGTGTGGTTAAAATACTAGTGTTGTAGTGATGGTAATTCTAGTAGTAATGTTAATGATAGAAATAATGCTATGTATGTTTTGGCTCCTAAGTATCTCCAGACATCTTTGTCATCTTATGTATTATCATTATTTTTTGATGATGATGCATCTTTTATATTGGCATCCTCTTTGTTATCATTTTTGCTATTACTTATCAGATTTGTTTTTGAATATTTTTATCATTGTAGGTACATTAAAAATATCGGATGTGGAATCGTTTTGTGGTAAGTGGACACAATCAGGCATAAGCGAACCCGCTTGCCCGATGCCTGGGACAAGTGTTTTTTATGGTCGGACATCAAGAATTTTAGGGACCACTTGTCCGTGGACAAGCACTTTTAAAATAGGCTACTTCACCATGTAATGCGTAATGCTTTCACAGTGCAACTTTTGACAATACGCAGCATATTTTATTAACAAATTGTCGGTGCACAAAGCGATATCAAACAGAAAACCGATATAAAACTCAATATAAAACTTGTTATTTTCTGCAGTAAAGATTGAAAATAAATTTTAATTGTTAAATGTTAGCCAGATCTGTCATATGTGTACACATTAGACCTACAGCAGTTACAGTCTCCCCTCCAATTCGAGACCCTTCTCATTCTGAGACCCCTCTAATTCGAGACCACTTTTTCAAAGTACCAACTGACAACCTATCATTTAACACTGAGCTCACCCTCTAATTATGAGATCTCTCTAATGTGAGACCGAGACCACATTCATGGAAGTGTACTAAGTGACAAAATGACCTCCAATTCAAGACCACATTTGAAAATAGAATCAAATAGATTAAGTTTGTGTTTTAACAATAAATACTGTTTAATTTGAGAAATTTAACAGTAATTGTTTTAAAACTATCTGTTGGCACCTTTTGAAAAAAAATTGCTGTTGAATCAGCTACTCATCCCTAATTTGATACAGTCCTATGTTTCTGATTTTCTTCTTCAGCCACCCAATTGCTGCACAAGTCCCTGGCCCCGTAGCCAAGGGGATGGGAGACAGGGGGAAATTCCCCTGCTAAATGTTTGGCCTCCTCGCTAAAATCTAATATATAAATAATTAAAACTAAAAGCAAAAACTATATTTATATATATTTATATCGTGGGAGATGGGAAATCTGGCCAAGATTGAATACCTAATGACATATGGTATCATCCAAAGATTTGTAAGAGTGTCATCTGGGTGTTTCCCTGTTGGTATTTTCGTCCATGTGGAAAGAAGTGAATATCCATCCCCATAGCCATAAGGGGAGGGGGACAGGGCCATTAAAATTCAGCTCCAACAATGGCATTCTGAGTTGGGTGTGGAACATTACTTGCCCCCCCCCCCCCCAGTCAACCTACGGGGCTCAGTGCTTTCCCCCATTTCATCATGGCCATGAGAAACTTTCAAACACATTGGAAAATTGATTATTGAAGATTGGGAACATAAGGGAAGGCCAAGTAACACAAGAGAAAATAACACATTTCTTTTAAATGTAAACGATGGACACTCACACACCTAAACCTAAAGTATAAATGTTACATTTACTTTACAATATGCCATTCAGATTTGTTTTCAATGTGTTTTTCAAGTTGGTCACAAAAATTGAAAAACAAACAACAGTTTCTTTAAAATAAATAAATGTTTGTCCAGTGTTGTTTTTTGGAGACCACCTTGTCTTCAGTCTTCATTAATTAGAGGTTTCAGGTTCAGTTACCCTTCAATTATGCTGCTTGGAGACTACTTCAAGCCTGTTGTCTCTACTTAGAGGTTTCTAATTTGAGACCGCACCCTGATACACAGAGTGGTCTCAAATTGGAGGGCGGACTGTACATATTTTCACACGTTATTGTACCTGTTAGCCGTCAGCCGTCTGGGCCTGCTGCACGTGGTTTGTTTTCACTATTAATTCGCACTGGTCTAGTCTAAAAAAAATACCAGACATATTTAAAGACTTTGGGTGCACAGACATTACGGTAGTTGATTAGTTGATTTGGACGACATGAAATGTCAGGACTTCAAGACTAGTAATTACTATCGAGTACGAATACAAACAGCAGCCATTAGGCCTACTTTTAAAAAAGGCCTAGTCTATTTCGTTTGCGCGTGTGGGGAAGGCAATCTAGACAGACTAAAAATTGGTTGTTAAAGTAATTTAAAAATCATTCACTTCACTAATCACAAAAGCATTCACAAGTGATGGAGATAATGTGCATAAAAAAATCCAAATCTTGTAAAACTGGAGTTAAGAATTAAGGGTTGAGGGCCTATAAATGAATCATTTTCACATCTCAAAAATCTCAGAGATTCCCTAGAAGGGATTCATCCTCTCGGCACATGCTCAGAATTATATAGGCCTACAGTACTTGCCTTTCGTTGAGAGGTAAGTAATTTTATTTATTTTGCAATAAATGAAATGAGGATGTGTCAAGCTGTAAAATATTCCCCGTGTAAAATATTAGGCCCAGAAATCAATCACCGCATTTCAAAAATATGAGCCAATTTCCACGTATATTTTGCAGAAAATTGATAGTAGAAACACAAGTATTGACGATTCTGCGCATCTATTTTTCTAGAGGTTTTCCCATGCAATGTGAATTAGTTTTTTTGTATCCTGCACAAAAAAAAATACATTTGAAGTTAATATTAGAATTGGTTAAGATCTTCAAATGGGTACAAACATACGATATGGACCCCCCCCCAAATGACGTCATAAAACTCAGTCCTGTAAGCGTGTGGCTGAGAACTTGTGTTGTGTATCGTGGTAATCAACCATGCCTGAAAAATTTTTCCTTGCAGTTGTTGTGACGACAGCTTTTAAACATGCGATAAGAAAACGATCAACACACACCTACATACATAGAATATTATTAATAATGTTTATTTTATTTGAATTTCTCCTTATTATACATTATTGAAATTCTTGGCAAAATATTCAAATTTAAAAAAGAAAGAAAAACATTTTTGCGTGATCAATGCAGTATGCATGTAGGCCTAATAATGTTGTAGAGCCATAGCAAAAATACTTTACTTTTGTGTTATTTTTTATAATTATTGCGCAATAATATTGGAACAAGTAAAATTGCCTTCAGGACAAGTGCATTTTTCAAGGTCTGGTGACAAATGAAAAAATATGAAATTTACTCATGCCTGACAATACTTTCAAACATGCGATAAGAAAACGATCAACACACACCTACATACATAGAATACTATTAATAATGCAAATTAAAAAAAGAAAGAAAAACATTTTTGTGTTATCCATGCAGTATGCATATACAGCAGGCCTATTAAATGTTGTAGGGCCTTAGCAAAAATACTTTACTTTTGTGTTATTTTTTATAATTATTGCGCAATAATATTGGAACAAGTAAAATTGCCTTCAGGACAAGTGCATTTTTCAAGGTCTGGTGACAAATGAAAAAATATGAAATTTACTCATGCCTGACAATACTTTCAAACATGCGATAAGAAAACGATCAACACACACCTACATACATAGAATACTATTAATAATGCAAATTAAAAAAAGAAAGAAAAACATTTTTGTGTTATCCATGCAGTATGCATATACAGCAGGCCTATTAAATGTTGTAGGGCCTTAGCAAAAATACTTTACTTTTGTGTTATTTTTTATAATTATTGCGCAATAATATTGGAACAAGTAAAATTGCCTTCAGGACAAGTGCATTTTTCAAGGTCTGGTGACAAATGAAAAAATATGAAATTTACTCATGCCTGACAATACTTTCATTACTGTCTCTTATACACATCTAGATGTGTATAAGAGACAGATATAAACTTATTAATTTGAAGTGTTATTTTATTGATTGTTTTATATACCAATTTGCATTGTTGTTTTTTTTGCCATTTTTTTTTTTGCTATATATACCGATTTGCATATCCTCTAAATTTTATTGACATATCAAAATGTTTTATAGGTCAGAATTTTAATACTTTTTATATAATACATTGACTGACATTGTAAAAAATGAAAGCAACCGACAGAACAATTACATCAAAGTTATGAGTGTTTAATTAAAAAAAAATATCAATATGTATGGTAAATATGTATCAAAATTATAGTTGTATATAGAAATTACATGTGATGATGTACTTCATGGTAGACATTTGAAGTTTTTATTTTTGTTTTCTTTGTTTTTTTTTACCTTTAAGTAAATTCTAAACATAAATTCTACAGTATACTTTGTACTTCGAACCAAAGTTATTGAAAAAATGGAAAAATGAAAACAATGAAAAAAGGTGGGCTACAGTACATAGTGGACTCAATACAACAATTTTTTTAAGTTTGATCTGATGTCAAAAGATAAATCTTAATTTTTACATCAGATGAATAAAATCATCATTTGTATATTATCAAGGGCATAGTGCTTTGATCAAGAATATTCATAACATCAAATAAATAGTATAAAGTGATAAAAACATTCTAATTTTTGTGATTCTTAATTTTTTTTAAAGCAAGGATGCCCTTATTTCTATATTATTGCAGTTTTTAATATGTTTGTTGATTTTTTTTTTTTTTGTCATTGTTACTGTCACCATATTACAATCATTTACATTTGTTTTTCTATCATCGTACTGAAGGTCAAACATGGGATGGACTTCAGTATGGTAAGTAAACCTAATACATTTCTTTTTTATTTGATATCACAAACAAAGCTTAATCTTTACCTGTAAATAAATAATATGGTATTGATTGTATTTTCAAGAGAATTATGCTTTTTATGAAACATTCTAATGCCATTTTTGGCCGCCTTCTCATTTTATTATCAGAGCGGCTTGTTCGTTTATTCATTACCATTAATGGTCAATAAGAATAAATTCATTAATCAAACCTTGGCCCTAGGTAAAATATTTTATCCAGCCTATAGTTTGACAACTAAATATATATTAACTAAATCAGCTTTTCCAGTACAGCTACTGTAGCATACGTCTTGCTCTAATCCTGTTGGCTTTGTTGCTAAACAACTTTTGAAACATGCCTATTCCTATTCAAGATAAGTTATAATTATAATATGCATTGTCATTGTTGTTTTTGTCGTTACTGTAACTTGTGTGATTATTTCTAATCTTTTTAGCTCATTTACGAAGTCAACATCATGGTATGTGTTAATTGATGTCATTAACCTTACTCTTCATATAATTACATAATAATGATGATAATAGTATTAACACTAATAGCAAAAGCAATAGTAGTCATCATAATTGTAATATAAATTATCAGAATATTAATGATCTTATATTGGTAATAATAATAATAATAATAATAATAATTATGAGGCAAATAAAATTTTGTATTGAGAAATATGTATTGTCATTATGGAGCCAGAAGATGTTAGGCCTACTTGTGCTGCCTGTAAGGTAGACATGTTTACTTTTAAAGTCACTTTAACAATCTCACTAAATTATCTACAGTCATACTGGTCCAGGTCTTTTTAGTGATGTTAGCCCAAATAATAAGGGAGAATGTCTTAGAAATACACCAAGTGATGTAGACTTTGTGAGATTTGAGTCACTATTTGCTGGGTTTTTTAAAGTTATTAAGTGCTGGTTTGAATTAGGATGATTATTTTGCTTTTTATAAGTTCAGATACTGTATGCTTCCTAAACCTATAAAGCCATTAATTGTCTCAATACTTCACCAATTGTGTCATACACCAGTAATGTTCCCCATATATTATTGTATTTAGTAACGTCTAATAAACTGCATTTTCCTAAATAAACAATAAATCTCCGTCACAGCACTTATTCTATGGAATGTTAACATTAAAACTGCATCAACAGTGAAATTTTTTTTTTAAAGACTAAAAAGAAACAGACATTCTCAGATAAGATAGTATAATACATACTCCAAGTATCGAAATGCACGCCATCATGTCAGGATTTAATATTTCAACATTAATTATGTCATCATCAGGAATGAAGTTTTTGAAGCACATTTTATTATAACTTCATTATATAAACTGAATCTATATGAATGATATTTATCAATTGGTTTATAGATTTTAATAATGATGAAGCTCTTACTTCTGTATCATTACTGTTATTTTTTATGTTTATTGTTTTAGCCAAAAGCCCATTGTTGATGGCAGTAGACTTGGCAAATGATTTCATACGCTACAAGATGGCACCTGGTGCAGACCCCTGTAATGACAACGCTTTAGCTCTACGAAAACGAGGTGATGAAGTGATATCAAAATTAGATGCAGATGACCAGTATAAAAATTGTCTAGATGAATTAGATTTTAGTGTTGATGGAAATGGATATGAACAGTTTCAAAATCTTGTAGACTCTATGTTGGAAGAGGGGGGTGTGAACTGGGGTCGTATTGTTATGGTGTTTGTTGTTGGAGCCAAACTAGCCATGAAGTACAATTCCACAAACTTAATATATTACACTGGAAATATTGTCCATTGCAAGTTTACCCCATGGATCCAACAAAATGGGGGATGGGTAAGTGACATCTTAATTCTTAATTTTTTGTTTTCTGAATTTTCTTCTCTGATTACATCATACCGATAATGCTTGAATATGCGCCGCACCAGTCCTGATTTTTTTCGCTAAGTATCACTCTCGCTGCGGTTCTGAATCAAGAGTATATTACCCTGTGTGTAATGAAACACTTTGAGAAACAGGGTTTTATATACAAAATGTATACAGTGTTGTAAGTGAATAACACAATGAAGACACAAGCATTTCTTTATAAACGTTTTTTACGATGACGTAGGACCTATGATAGGCCTACTGAACTATGGGAATATGTGAAATAGGTATCATGGAAACAGGCAGGGAAAGTGCCACGCCAATATCTTTTTATAAGTGCCGCACTAGAATAAGCGCCGCACTGAAGCCTCCAAAAAATGTATAAGCGCCACAGCGCTTATTTGGGCATTTACAGTATGCACCATTTGTGACTGCATGCATTTGAGTAATTTAATATGTTATTTGCAGTTTAAATCATTTTGGCCCATGCATTATGGCCCATGTGCACGTTAAAGAACGCAGTACAATCTTCGGAAAAGAGTAGGGGATTGTCTCCCGGTGTACTGCCCAATCACCACCAGAAGGACCCCACTGGAAATAAGTCTTCTTTTAGACTTTCGTGGGCTATCCTTGGTGTTTGCACCGAATAAATCCAATCCAATCCAATCCTATCCAGTTAAACTGAAACAGTGGTGAGAAGTATTTGAGATGAACAACTCATTTAATGTTTATTTGATGCATAAAGTTTCATACAGTGTTTCTGTGACTATTGCTTAAGTATGTATTATTCTTTGGTATCATGTATTTTTTAGCTAATTCTTTTATTTTTTCACCTTTAGGATTCACTTCAAGGTTTGAATATATCCTCTGGCAGGCAGTATAATATTTGGAGTTGGTTTTCCTTTTCATGGATGTAATCTACAAAGGGATATTTTCTACAAAGGGATAAGTGTTTAATGTCACAGATAGTATGCAAAATGAACTATTGAAGATTGGGAACATAAGGGAAGGCCAAGTAACACAAGAGAAAATAACACATTTCTTTTAAATGTAAACGATGGACACTTACACACCTAAACCTAAAGTATAAATGTTACATTTACTTTACAATATGCCATTCAGATTTGTTTTCAGTGTGTTTTTCAAGTTGGTCACAAAAATTATTGCAAATTGACTAAAAACGTTTTATATACAGTAGTATATGATAAAAAAAATATTTTTTTAGGAAAATGTAGCTTTTTATGGACACCTTTAGTCAGGAATTACACATATTTGTTCAGTGTGTTAAAAGCACCACAGACATTTTGTTAGAACTTGCAGTAAATCAATTTTTATTCAAAGTATATTATTGAATGGAAACAACTTATAAGACATAAAAATACAATGTTTAATGAGCCTTATCCTTTTTAAAGTCAAAAATCGTTGAGTTTAAAAAATAGAATATTGCATCATGTCAAGAAAATTGAAAGTAATTAATGACTATCCATATTAATCTATATATCATATTTGAATAAAAGCCGTTCTTTGAATACCCCCAACTTGATTAAACACCCCCTCACTATCAGAATCAACAAAACGCCCCCACTCTCAAAAACCCTTCTCAATAATAAACGCCCTGGGGAGTTTATTCAAATAATGCGGTGTTGTAATTAATATCAGGCAGCATTCTTTATTTGTTAGTTTGTTACAGAAAAACTTATAAGCTTAGAGATTAAGAATGGTTTTTTATGTCAATTCGTGTGTAATTAATATCATGAAAGCATTTGATCAGTTTGATCACTGTAGCTGTCAATAAGTTGATTGAACTTGGGGGTGAGATCATCTGTTGTCACAATTATTTGCAGTTTTCTCAGCTGATGCATCATGAGCACTAGATTTGCTCAGTTATGTAGTGCCCCAGGGCACCCTACTAAGACCATCACAGTTCTTGTTGTTGATCAATGATGCATTTGCTGGGTGCTGTAGGAGGTGGAAATATGTTGATGATCTCCCTCTGGGTAAAGTAGTTAGTTGCTGCTGTCACTTTGCCAATGTGAATTTGTTGACTATGTAACAATAAAGAAATGAACTTACACTAAGTATGACTCTGTAACAATGAAGAAATGAACTGACACTAAGTACTGGTAGTTTTTAGAGATATTCTTCCAGAGTATTATATTCCCACAAGTATTATATTCTCCATCTGCCTTGATTTTTGAAAATGAAATATGAACTTTTTTAATTTTATAGTTGTGTATTTTTATGTCATCATTTTCATATCATTATTATTACTCTCATGCATTGCTTTTTAATGAGAGATTTGATTATTGTTTGTATTAGTGCCTTAGCATCAGGATCGTTACACAGATCACAAAAGTGCCAAATTTGGTACAAATATTAGTATGGGCATACAGTTTTGAAAAATCTCTAGAGCAAAAAAAAAATCTTATTTTGGGGTAAAAAATCACATTTTTGGGGAAAAATAGGTTTTCAATATTTTGGTATTTTTGACTATTGTAGTGCAAGACCTACCTGTACAAATAGGTTTAGAATCAATATGATCATTATTTAGTCAGAAATAAGCAAATATAGTTCAAAGTTCAAAGGGGTCCGACATTGTGGAGGGGGAAATTCCCCCAATGTATTATGTTGATTTTATATATACTGTACTTAGTAGTTCAAGAACTAAAAAATAATATCACTATAAATACCTTCAATAGCACAATAATTATAATTATATTTATCAACTGATTGGTCAGCACATGGGTCAGTGGATGCGAAAGGTCCTTGGTATTCTGAGAGAACAGCTCATACTAAAGAATAATGAGTCACTCAAGGATACGGGAGTCAAATTGTTTATATGTATGTTCCCTTATGGAAAGAAATGACTTTGTCGCTGCCGGGGTGGGGGAAGGTGAGGAATAGAATTTTCAGGCTTGTGAACTATAAAACTCTGTAAAATTAAGGAAAAGGGGTAGGACACTGGGACATACAGTAGTTTCTTCAAGATATTTGCACAAATTATTGATGCTATAGCAAAAGTGATATCGCTACTGCAGAGGTATACAGATGTAAAGGACATAAAATGCTTCTTCAGAGGTCTCTCACAACACCCAATGAATACAAATTTAAATAGAATATTTACAAATTATTGGTTTCAGAAATCCATTATACTGTATAACTCTCAAAACGCTATTGTTGTACCTTCCGTGCACAAACCCCCAATGCCGGACCCTCAAATTTCTAAAGGTTCACTTTTTAAAACCCATTTTCACTATCGTTCCTAATTATCGCCAAATGCTGTAATGTGCATTTCATTTGCCATCTCTTCTAATTTTTAATATCTAATAACTGTGGTACGAATTTGTTATTTTGCGGATTGATCCACATATTAACAATGATACCTTGGCGTACAGGTGTCAGGACATGAAGCGTTACTTCTTCAGGCCCCCAACAACACCAAAATTAATGCAAATTTAAATAGCATATTTAATAAATTATGGGTTTCAGAAATCCATTATAGGTCCAAGACCCTCACTGTCGGAGCTTCCAAAGCTTTTCCCCCAAACTACCACCAAGGGCACTGCTCTATATCCATCTGGGGGCCATTGGCGGCATGCAGACTAAAGACCATGTTGCTAGCAAAATGCATCCCAACCCTGTCTGCGGGAAGAAATTTGCATCCTTAGGCCTTGATAGATTGTGGGTGAGAATGAGGTTCAAAATTGGCGATCATTATAGAAAACGAAGCCCAAACCTCTATTTTTACCAAAAAATCAAAAATTAACTGTATTTAGCCCAGGTGAAATTGTTGATTGATTGAAACATTTTTTTTTAAACCTTCTGTCATATTCTGACACTATTACTGACCAGTAAGGTATAATATAACATATAGAGCATTATCAGGATATAGTTAAATCTCAACAAAACTCTATTTTTTTCTAACCAAAAATCAGTTGCCAAAACCTTTATGTCAGATTCTTGTATGTTATTGACTAGTAAGGTAATATATTGGTTAAAATGTATTTTATACATACAGAGAACTGCAATTATGTTTTTATATATAGACAAATCTGAATCTTTTACCAATGCCTTTATGCAAGATTCTGATATATTATTGACCGTCGAGGTATAATTCTGTATTGGTTAAAATGTATTTTTACATACAAAGCATATCAGTATAAATGTCAAATCTATTTTGTACCAAAAATTCGTCGTTTTAACTCAAAAATAGGCACAATTGAGATTCTTTAAGACTTATGTCAGATTCTGACATATTATTGATCAGTGAGGTTAAAATATATAAAATATATTTTTTACATGCAGAGCATATTAGTTATAATTTAAATGTTACAACAAATCTATACTTTTCAACAAAAAAAAATCATATTTTTAGCCTAAAAATGGCCAACAATTGGGTTTTTTTAAAAATCCTTATGACAGATTCTGACATGTTATGGACCAGTGAGGTATAGTATTGATTAGAATATATTTTTACATGAAAAGCATATCAGGTATAATTTAAATGTCAAAAAATATACTGTATATTTTCCCAAAAAATAATGTTTTTAGCCCAAACAAATTGGGTTTTTTTTTTTTTTGGTTTTCAGAGATTTTCTTGAAAAGCATGTTGGTAAATCTATTTCATTCTTATTTGCTTATTGTGAAAAAAGAATGACCATATAGATTCTAAGCCTGTTTGTACAAGTAGGCCTTGTATAAAAATAGTCGAAAATATTAAAAACCATATTTTTCCCCAAAATTCTATTTTTACACCAAAAATTCAAATTTTTAACCCAAAAATTTAATTTTTTTTTTTTGCTCCAGAAATTTTTAAAAATTGTATGCCCATACTAATATCTGTACCAAATTTAGCACTTTTGTCGTCCAGGTAATCCAATTAATAAGCTATGCAAAAGGTTAAAATCTAGATTAATACCAAAGCGAATTTTTCGTTCAAAAAATCTTTTATTTTCTTTATATTTTTTCATCTATATTTGCTTATTTCTGACTAGTTAATGATCATATTGATTCTAAACCTATTTGTACAGGTAGGTCACTATAGCAGTCAAAATATACCAAAATATTGAAAGCCGTATCAGAGATTCCCTTGAAAAGCATGTTGATAAAAATATCTCCACCCAAAATTAAAGTTTTGTCATCCGTGTAACGATTCTTCCATATTTTGACGTTAAGGCACTCTACTATATATACCGGTACTGTATATGTGTTCAAAAAATTCTAAGACTGGACTAACAGGCCTGAGAGCCAGAGTGTTTTCACACTATTGTTATCCTAGCCAACTTAGGTAATTTATTGTATCAATTTTTTGTTAAATTTCATTTAACTGTTTTGTATTCACTTGTTTATGTTATTGGATGGCTGAATGAATGAATGAACGAACGGACGAACGAACATTTTAATGAAATCGAATTTGCCACCATGAAGGATAGAGATCTCCCTGTACTTAATATCATGGTTATGTTTCTAAATAAGTGGAGGGGTAAGGCTAACTATAGCCTTAACATCGGCGCTGATTGCAGCCGCTCCTCCCACAAGGTTCGTTTGGTAGAACCAGGGAACCGTGTCATTTCCCTGTTCCCTTGTAGAACCAAGTCTTCTCGGTTAAGGACTTAAAATGGAGGTCCAGCGTATACGTGTCTCGTGTGCACTTTAAAGAACCCATTGCATCTTTCGGAAGAGTAAGGGGTTACCCCGATGTTATGGCCTCATTACGACTGCTAGGTAGTCACGGACCACGCTCATACGCAATTCAGCACAATGACGCTGCAAGTTATGGATTATTATCCTAACTTTACCTTATATTTACCTTTAGTATGCTGCTTATCTAGTCTTCATATACTGATGCCGTAGCAATTATGCCTGTGAACTGTTTTCTTAATGCGATTGTACACATTTTGTGATAGTGAATAATATTTGTAATTGAATTTTTTTAGCATTGTTAATTTTTGTAATAGTTTTTTTTTTTTTGCCATTGAAATAAATTGTTTTAATAATAAACTAATTGTATTTGTAAGTAAACATTTTTTCAACAGTAAATAATATTTGTATTTTAAATATGTAGTTGTGTTTATTTTTTATGTACAGTAATAATTAATTATTGTAGCTCCCTCCCCCGCGCTGTCTTTTTTTTAATATGAAAAAAAAAGAATACAAATACAAAATGTTTCAATATGTTGTGATAAATAATTTCTGTACAACATTTATTGGTATCTATCGGTTCAGTGGTGTATCTAGGGGATGTTTGAAGAAAAAAATTTAAAAAAAATACAGTTTTGAACACTCCTGATGTCTTATTAGAAAAACTACTGTAATACTTTCGTACTTATGGACTATTAATAGAAACACAACGGGCGGACCACTGATCTCTACTATAATATCTATTATAATAGAAGTCAGTGTAGCGAACAAGTCTTGGACTTAAAAATGGAGAAAAAAAGAAAGTTATATTCAACTATAAGTTTGAGAGTGCCATTTCAGGCCATCTGGAGGTGCCATAATCATAAATTTTCTTTCCTCAGCCCCAATCATGGTGGGGCTGATGTCGTTTACACCTTCCATCTGTGAAAGTCCCTCCCGGGTTCCGTCTATTTTAAATTTCGGGATCAGCCACTGCCATATAGGGCGACGATTATTTTTTTTAGCTTACAAGCAAGCGAAACTAGGTCCCATTTGGTGCCCATGCTGACCCCAGAGATCTGTCGGTAATACTGTCCATTGAAGGTGAATGTGGATGTAGTTAAAACCAGTTCGCGTCGACAAGGCGTAACTACTATAGGAGGTAGAGTGAGTGATCACATCATTACTTTCTAAAAAGTGTCTTAATGCTGACAGTCCATCATTAATGGGAATCCATGTGTAAAGCGAGCTGACGTCCATAGTAAATGTATACCGGTAACATAATTGTTGTCCGAAAATGTAAAGACCTTCACAACATCAGTTCACTACACACCTACTAATGCCCACACCTATCTGAATTGCCAATCATCCTCCTTCATAATATAAAACTCTATCACTTATTCGTAATTTGTAGCGATAATGATGAGTTCGAAGAAAGGGCTAAGGAAAGGATCCAATTTTGCAATGAGCGAAGGTATCCAGACAACATAACTAAATCTACGGACAAAATTAATATATAACTCAGCAATCCAATCTCATTCCCGGGACAATAAAGATAGAACGCCGTTTATCACCACGTATCATCCTACAATGAAGAAAGTCGTTTA